TGCAGGGAAAAAAATCAACTTTAAATTTGCCTCCCCCCGTGTCCCCCCGTGTCCCCCCGTGTCCCAGCGCTTCCCAACATCTCCCACCATCCCCCCACATCCCATCAATCCCCTCCCCCAAACCCCCCCAGTTCCGGTTCTGCCGCTGGTTCCGGTTCCGGTTCCAGATCCAGTTCCCAGTCCCAGTTCTGGACTCGGTTCTAGACCCGGTTCTAGATCGGGTTCTAGACTCGGTTCTAGATCGGGTTCTAGACTCGGTTCCAGATCAGGTTCTAGACTCGGTTCTAGATCGGGTTCTAGACTCGGTTCTAGATCGGGTTCTAGACTCGGTTCTAGACCCGGTTCTAGACTCGGTTCTAGACTCGGTTCTAGTTCGGGTTCTAGACCCGGTTCTAGACCGGATTCCAGATCGGATTCCAGATCGGGTTCTAGACCCGGTTCTAGACCCGGTTCTAGACACGGTTCTAGATCAGGTTCTAGACTAGGTTCTAGACTCGGTTCTAGACCCGGTTCTAGACTGGGTTCTAGACCGGCTTCGGGTTCCGGTTCTGACCCGCTGCAGGAGCAGCCCGCGGGCGATGGAGCGGGCACAGAGCGCCAGGGACAGCGAGCACACGGCTGTCACCAACACGTCAAACGCCAGGCGCCGCGAATTGTCACCTGTGGGGACACGGACAGCCGGGGTCACCTTTGGGACACCTGGGGACACCTTTGGGACACCTGGGGACACCTGGGGACACATGGGGACACCTTTGGGGACACCCGGGGACACCTTTGGGGACACCTGAGGACACCTTTGAGGACACCTGGGGACACCTTTGGGACACCTGGGGACACCTTTGGGGACACCTGGGGACACCTTTGGGGACACCTGGGGACACCTTTGGGACACCTTTGGGGACACCTTTGGGACACCTGGGGTCACCTTTGGGACACCTGTGGACACCTTTGGGGACACCTTTGGGACACCTGGGGACACCTTTGGGGACACCTGGGGTCACCTTTGGGACACCTGTGGACACCTTTGGGGACACCTGGGGTCACTTCCCAAGGCCTGGGGACACCTTTGGGGACACCTGGAGACACCTTTGGGACACATGGGGACACGCAGGGTCACCTTTGGGGACACCTGGAGTCACTTTTCAAGGCCTGGGGACACCTGGGGTCACCTTTGGGGACACCTGGGGACACCTGGGGTCACCTTTGGGGACACATGGGGACACCTGGGGTCACCTTTGGGGACACATGGGGACACCTGGGGACACCTTTGGGACACCTGGGGTCACTTCCCAAGGCCTGGGGACACCTGGGGTCACCTTTGGGGACACCCGGGGTCACCTCTGGGGCCAGGTGCCACCGTGGTGTCACCTCTGCCAGGCATGGCAGGGTGGTGGCACTCCCAGGGGACACCCCCAGAACCCATTGTCACCCGCTGTCACCCGCTGTCACCTGTGCCGGGCAGCGAGGGGTGGTGGCACTCCCGGATGGCCGCGTGGGTGTCCAGGCGGATCCGCACTCGCCCGCTGTGGGCGCGGTTGTCAAACGTCACCTGGGGACAGGGGGTGGCACTGTCACTGCCACTGTGTCACTGTGTCACCGTCACTGTGTCACTGTCACTGTGTCACCGTCACTGTGCCACTGTCACTGTGTCACTGTGTCACTGTCACTGTGTCACTGTGTCACTGTCACTGTGTCACTGTCACTGTCACTGTGCCGCTGTCACCGTGTCACTGTGTCACCGTCACTGTGTCACTGTCACTGTGCCACTGTCACTGTCACTGTGTCACTGTCACTGTGCCACTGTCACTGTGTCACCGTCACTGTGCCACTGTCACTGTGTCACTGTGTCACCGTCACTGTGTCACTGTCACCGTGTCACTGTCACTGTGTCACTGTCACTGTCACTGTGCCACTGTCACCGTGTCACTGTGTCACCGTCACTGTGTCACTGTCACTGTGCCACTGTCACTGTCACTGTGTCACTGTCACTGTGCCACTGTCACTGTGTCACTGTGTCACTGTTACTGTGTCACCGTCACTGTGTCACTATCACTGTGCCACTGTCACTGTCACTGTGTCACTGTCACTGTGCCACTGTCACCGTGTCACTGCCACTGTGTCACTGTCACTGTGTCACTGTCACTGTGCCACTGTCACTGTGTCACTGTCACTGTCACTGTGCCACTGTCACCGTGTCACTGCCACTGTGTCACTGTCACTGTGTCACTGTCACTGTCACTGTGTCACTGTCACTGTGCCACTGTCACCATGTCACTGCCACTGTGTCACTGTGTCACTGTCACTGTGCCACTGTCACCGTGTCACTGCCACTGTGTCACTGTCACTGTGTCACTGTCACTGTGCCACTGTCACTGTGTCACTGTGTCACCGTCACTGTGTCACTGTCACTGTCACTGTGCCACTGTCACCGTGTCACTGTGTCACTGTCACTGTGTCACTGTCACTGTCACTGTGCCACTGTCACCGTGTCACTGTGTCACTGTCACTGTGTCACTGTCACTGTCACTGTGTCACTGTCACTGTCACTGTGTCACTGTCACTGTGTCACTGTGTCACCGTGTCACTGTCACTGTGTCACTGTCACTGTGCCACTGTCACCGTGTCACTGTGTCACTGTCACTGTGTCACTGTCACTGTCACTGTGTCACTGTCACTGTCACTGTGTCACTGTCACTGTGTCACTGTGTCACCGTGTCACTGTCACTGTGTCACTGTCACTGTGCCACTGTCACCGTGTCACTGTGTCACTGTCACTGTGTCACTGTCACTGTCACTGTGTCACTGTCACTGTCACTGTGTCACTGTCACTGTGTCACTGTGTCACCGTGTCACTGTCACTGTGCCACTGTCACCGTGTCACTGTCACCGTGTCACTGTCACTGTGTCACTGTGTCACCGTGTCACTGTCACTGTGCCACTGTCACTGTGTCACTGCCACTGTGTCACTGTCACTGTGTCACCGTCACTGTCACTGTGTCACTGTCACTGTGCCACTGTCACTGTGTCACTGTCACTGTGTCACTGTCACTGTGTCACTGTCACTGTGTCACTGTCACTGTGTCACTGTGTCACCGTCACTGTGTCACTGTCACTGTGCCACTGTCACTGTGTCACTGTGTCACCGTGTCACTGTCACTGTGTCACTGTCACTGTGTCACTGTGTCACTGTGTCACTGTCACTGTGCCACTGTCACCGTGTCACTGTCACCGTGTCACTGTCACTGTGTCACTGTCACTGTGTCACTGTCACTGTGTCACCGTCACTGTGTCACTGTGTCACTGTGTCACTGTCACTGTGTCACTGTCACTGTGCCACTGTCACTGTGTCACTGTGTCACTGTCACCGTGTCACTGTCACTGTGCCACTGTCACCGTGTCACTGTCACCGTGTCACTGTCACTGTCCCAGCACTCGCTGGTCGCCCCCGAGGGCCCCCAGAGGGACACAGGGACAGGAGGGGACAGAGGGACACTCAAGGAAGACACTCGGGGGACACTCAGGGACACCCAGGGACACTCTGGGGACACTCTGGGGACATTTTGGGGACCCTGGGAACACTCAGGGACACTCAGGGGACACTCTGGGGACACTCTGGAGACCCTGGGGACACTTTGGGGACACTCAGGGATATTTGGGGTCACTCAGGGACACTTTGGGGACACTCTGGGGACACTGAGGACAATCAGGGGACACTCTGGGGACACTGAGGACACTCAGGGGACACGCTGGGGACACTCTGGGGACACTGTGGGACACTGGGGGACACTCAGGGGACACTGAGGACACTGGGGGACACTCTGGGGACACTGAGGACACTCAGGGGACACGCTGGGGACACTCTGGGGACACTGTGGGACACTGGGGGACACTCAGGGGACACTGAGGACACTGTGGGACACTCTGGGGACACTGAGGACCCTCAGGGGACACTCTGGGGACACTCTGGGGACACTGTGGGACACTGTGGGACACTCAGGGGACACTGAGGACACTGTGGGACACTCTGGGGACACTGAGGACACTGTGGGACACTCAGGGGACACACTGGGGACACTGAGGACATTCAGGGGACACTGAGGACACTGTGGGACACTCTGGGGACACTGAGGACACTGTGGGACACTCTGGGGACACTGAGGACACCCAGGGGACATTGTGGGACACTCAGGGGACACTCTGGGGACACTGAGGACACTCTGAGGACACTGAGGACACTCAGGGGACACTCAGGGGACACTCTGGGGACACTGAGGACACTCTGAGGACACTGGGGACACTCAGGGGACACTGGGGACACTCAGGGACACTCAGGGGACACTCTGGGGACCCTGTGGGACACTCAGGGACACTGGGGACACTCAGGGACACTCAGGGGACACTCTGGGGACACTGAGGACACTCAGGGACACTCAGGGGACACACTGGGGACACTGAGGACAATCAGAGGACACTCAGGGACACTCAGGGGACGCTGGGGACACTCTGGGGACACTGAGTACACTCTGGGGACACACTGGGGACACTGGGGACACTCAGGGACACTCAGGGGACACTCTGGGGACACTGACGGTGACACTGAAGGTGTAGCAGTCGGGGATCTCGTGGTTCAGCAGCGTTTGGATGTTGATGGCCTTGAGCTGGAACTCCACGGTGACATTGATCAGCCTGAGGGGACAAAAATCATCCCAAAATCCCCAAAATTCCCAAAAAAATCACCCCAAAATCCCCAAAATTCCCAAAAAAATCACCCCAAAATCCCAAATTCCCCAAAAAAGGGGAAAATTCCACCCCAAAATCCCCAAAATTCCCAAAAAAAAATCACCCCAAAATCCCAAATTCCCAAAAAAAGGGAAAATTCCACCTCAAAATCCCCAAAATTCCCAAAAAAAATCACCCCAAAATCCCATATTCCCCCAAAAAATCATCCCAAAATCCCAAATTCCCAAAAAAAAATCACCCCAAAATCCCAAAATTCCCCAAAAAAGGGGAAAATTCCACCCCAAAATCCCAAAATTCCCAAAAGAAACCACAGGAAAAGGATTTTGGGGATGGGAAACGCCCCTGGGGGGGATTTCCGGGAATTTGGGGTTTTTTGGGATTCAGGTGAGGAATTTTGGGATTCAGGTGTGGAATTTTGGGATTCAGCTGTGGAATTTTGGTATTTACCTGTGGAATTTTGGGATTCAGGTGTGGAATTTTGGGATTTACCTGTGGAATTTTGGGATTCAGGTGTGGAATTTTGGGATTCAGGTGAGGAATTTTGGGATTCAGGTGTGGAATTTTGGGATTCAGGTGAGGAATTTTGGGATTCAGGTGTGGAATTTTGGGATTCAGGTGAGGAATTTTGGGATTTACCTGTGGAATTTTGGGATTCAGGTGTGGAATTTTGGGATTTACCTGTGGAATTTTGGGATTTACCTGTGGAATTTTGGGATTTACCTGTGGAATTTTGGGATTCAGGTGTGGAATTTTGGGATTCAGGTGAGGAATTTTGGGATTTACCTGTGGAATTTTGGGATTCAGGTGTGGAATTTTGGGATTTACCTGTGGAATTTTGGGATTTACCTGTGGAATTTTGGGATTTACCTGTGGAATTTTGGGATTCAGGTGTGGAATTTTGGGATTCAGGTGAGGAATTTTGGGATTTACCTGTGGAATTTTGGGATTCAGCTGTGGAATTTTGGGATTTACCTGTGGAATTTTGGGATTCAGGTGTGGAATTTTGGGATTCAGCTGTGGAATTTTGGGATTCAGGTGTGGAATTTTGGGATTCAGGTGTGGAATTTTGGGATTTACCTGTGGAATTTTGGGATTCAGGTGTGGAATTTTGGGATTTACCTGTGGAATTTTGGGATTTACCTGTGGAATTTTGGGATTTACCTGTGGAATTTTGGGATTCAGGTGTGGAATTTTGGGATTCACCTGTGGAATTTTGGGATTCAGGTGTGGAATTTTGGGATTTACCTGTGGAATTTTGGGATTTACCTGTGGAATTTTGGGATTTACCTGTGGAATTTTGGGATTCAGGTGTGGAATTTTGGGATTCAGGTGAGGAATTTTGGGATTTACCTGTGGAATTTTGGGATTCAGGTGAGGAATTTTGGGATTTACCTGTGGAATTTTGGGATTTACCTGTGGAATTTTGGGATTTACCTGTGGAATTTTGGGATTCAGGTGTGGAATTTTGGGATTCAGGTGAGGAATTTTGGGATTTACCTGTGGAATTTTGGGATTCACCTGTGGAATTTTGGGATTTACCTGTGGAATTTTGGGATTCAGGTGTGGAATTTTGGGATTTACCTGTGGAATTTTGGGATTCAGGTGTGGAATTTTGGGATTCAGGTGTGGAATTTTGGGATTTACCTGTGGAATTTTGGGATTCAGGTGAGGAATTTTGGGATTTACCTGTGGAATTTTGGGATTCAGCTGTGGAATTTTGGGATTTACCTGTGGAATTTTGGGATTCAGGTGTGGAATTTTGGGATTCAGCTGTGGAATTTTGGGATTCAGGTGTGGAATTTTGGGATTCAGGTGTGGAATTTTGGGATTTACCTGTGGAATTTTGGGATTCAGGTGTGGAATTTTGGGATTTACCTGTGGAATTTTGGGATTTACCTGTGGAATTTTGGGATTTACCTGTGGAATTTTGGGATTCAGGTGTGGAATTTTGGGATTCACCTGTGGAATTTTGGGATTTACCTGTGGAATTTTGGGATTCAGGTGTGGAATTTTGGGATTTACCTGTGGAATTTTGGGATTCAGGTGTGGAATTTTGGGATTCAGGTGTGGAATTTTGGGATTTACCTGTGGAATTTTGGGATTCAGGTGAGGAATTTTGGGATTTACCTGTGGAATTTTGGGATTCAGCTGTGGAATTTTGGGATTTACCTGTGGAATTTTGGGATTCAGGTGTGGAATTTTGGGATTCAGCTGTGGAATTTTGGGATTCAGGTGTGGAATTTTGGGATTCAGGTGTGGAATTTTGGGATTTACCTGTGGAATTTTGGGATTCAGGTGTGGAATTTTGGGATTTACCTGTGGAATTTTGGGATTTACCTGTGGAATTTTGGGATTTACCTGTGGAATTTTGGGATTCAGGTGTGGAATTTTGGGATTCACCTGTGGAATTTTGGGATTTACCTGTGGAATTTTGGGATTCAGGTGTGGAATTTTGGGATTTACCTGTGGAATTTTGGGATTCAGGTGTGGAATTTTGGGATTCAGGTGTGGAATTTTGGGATTTACCTGTGGAATTTTGGGATTCAGGTGAGGAATTTTGGGATTTACCTGTGGAATTTTGGGATTCAGCTGTGGAATTTTGGGATTTACCTGTGGAATTTTGGGATTCAGGTGTGGAATTTTGGGATTCAGCTGTGGAATTTTGGGATTCAGGTGTGGAATTTTGGGATTCAGGTGTGGAATTTTGGGATTTACCTGTGGAATTTTGGGATTCAGGTGTGGAATTTTGGGATTTACCTGTGGAATTTTGGGATTTACCTGTGGAATTTTGGGATTTACCTGTGGAATTTTGGGATTCAGGTGTGGAATTTTGGGATTCACCTGTGGAATTTTGGGATTTACCTGTGGAATTTTGGGATTCAGGTGTGGAATTTTGGGATTTACCTGTGGAATTTTGGGATTCAGGTGTGGAATTTTGGGATTCAGGTGTGGAATTTTGGGATTTACCTGTGGAATTTTGGGATTCAGGTGAGGAATTTTGGGATTTACCTGTGGAATTTTGGGATTTACCTGTGGAATTTTGGGATTCAGGTGTGGAATTTTGGGATTCAGGTGAGGAATTTTGGGATTTACCTGTGGAATTTTGGGATTTACCTGTGGAATTTTGGGATTTACCTGTGGAACTGGAGGGTGAAGTTGCCGTCGGTGCCGTTCAGCGCCGGTGGCCGGGGGTCCCCGGGGTGCACCTCCAGACACTCTGTGGGGTCGGGATTGGGGTCAGGGTGAGCCCAAAGGTTCCTGGGACCGTTCTGGATGTTCTGGGACCATCCTGAACCCCAAATCCCAAATCCCAAATCCCAAACCCCAAACCCAGACCCCAAACCCAAACCCTCAAACCCAAACCCCAAATCCCAAATCCCAAACCCAAACCCCAAACCCCAAACC